GAGTACTAATTGCGAGCATATTATTAGCAGATTATTATGCTGTTATAAGCAGACCTATTTTTGTATTCATATGAAGCAGAATTTATTAAAAACCTCGATATATATATATATATATATATATATATATAGAGAGAGAGAGAGAGAGAGAGAGAGGCTATATCAATTAACAATATTCATTTTTATTCTTACATTGATTCGATATATCCCTTTGAACTCGAAATAAGACACAACAGAGTCAGAAACTTTCGTTTCATATTCGAATCTTTTACTAGAAAAAAAAACAATTATCACAAAATAACAAAGTCGCCCAGTGGTAAGTACGTTTCTCTAGAGTCGCTGAGTAAGGAGTTGATCTTTACGTCGCAGGTTAGAATCCCACTGCGGGACGTGGAGACCGATCCTTCGGATGAGATTGTATAAACCGAGGTCCCGTGTCGTAGTAGGTGCTGGCACGAAAATGATCCCTCACTACCCAATGGTCCTGAGTGCTGAGCATAGGTCTATATTTGCAGTCCTCCAACGGCAAGTGGTGACATCTCAATATGAGTGAAAAATTCTCGAAAAGGACAAACAAAATAACAAAAGTTTATGATAAACGTACTGACTTTAACATTCCTCTCGTCACCTTCTCTTATTTATGTAGCAATATATCACTATCACCTGCATATGGAGTTTGTGTCTCCCAGTTGATTTGATGCTCAAGAGTATGTTCTACGTAAAAACTATTCAATGAGGCAAGCTATTGAGGAATAAGCTGATGAAAAAAGGATATCTACAGTCTTGTTTAAAGTCCTCAGTTCGCAAATTCTATTGTTTATTCAATGGCCTTGTATGCAAATACAATCTATCGTCAAGCCGAATATTGACCGATGTTTTTTCATTCAAATTGCTAGGTCATTATTTTCACATTGAATTGTCTAAGGAATTTTCTCTTTGCTCGATCATGACGTGGAGGACACGGCGGGTATGAACGATCAACAGGAGATGCTTACTCCTCCATGGCACCTGATCCCACCTCTTATGTTTTTGGAATTCTGTGTTTACTCTGCTCAGAACTTGTATTTTTTCAATGGAATTTTGACATTGAATACTGGTTGTTATCTTCATATTTCATGTGTAAAAATATTTATTATATTGTGGCAAAGAATATCGAAACTCATTGTTGTGAATACAATAATCGATATGTGCTAAAATTGTTCGTTGTAACCATGAAAAATATTCTAAGCCTAAGAAAAAATATATCATACAGGAAGGATGTCAATCCTTTAATCAATATAAAATTTCAACCTACTATATTTCTCAACTTTCCCTTTTGCAGGCGATGAAGGTAAGATCTAAACTATGGAAAGACATTTATACTGTTTTTAGCGGAAAAGTGATCATAATTTACTACTTTTGTGTCTAATCGTGATTTAGCATCATCTAAAATGTTTTGTTTAAATAATATAAACAAAGTATACCGAGGCTGTATACATTAGAAAAAAATTGAACAAATAATTAATTCCCATTGAAGTTAGTTCACATTTCGTCACAATTACCATGATAAAGCCAAATTATGATTCGGTATTGATTATCTGCATTTAACTATCACTACACAAAACTTTACAACTTTATTTTGAGGGAGTTTCGATTAAAGTACTCCTTACATTATCTCTAAATGGACTGCACTGAAGTAAAATATGCATAGTTTCTCAATTTAAGCCATCTATTACTTTAAATTTCATAGTAAAAGGAACATCGTACTTTTTTTATCACTCTAATCAATTGAACAAATGTCACACTTTAAATAAAGTTATGTGAGAAATGGAATGCTCATTTTATATTTACAGAATTCCCAATTGATAGAATGACAGATTACCATGCATCACAAATGTAAGTTGTTGCCGAGAGGCTGAATTACGCAGTACAGTTAAGGTGCCAAATGGAAATATCGGCGAATTTTTTAGATAGAAAATACATTCTTTACAAGGATGGGCGTTTCTTTTTAGGACTTTACTATTATCGGACAAATGCAATGTAGCTGAAAACGACATGTTGAGGACGTTTATATTTCTTATTTAGACTTGTCACGTGACGTGGCAGTCACGTGATTTTAGCAAATATACCTGATTGAGGTCATCTATAAATTCTAAAATTGCAAGGGCATAACCAAGTTAAAAATCTAAGTTTAACATATGATTATTTTCAACACTCTTTGTAGTGTGTGAAAAATGCTGCGAACCTATATAGATTCTACTATCTAATTGCCAAAATTACATTTGTTAGACCGTATGTTGAATATTTTGCTGGTCAAGTACATTAAATATAGATATAATTAATTCATTTGCAAGATTTCAACAGGTTCGCAGCACTTTTCAAATATCTTCATACTTCTTGAGTTTATGTGTAAAAACTTGTCATAATTCATTGAGGGTATGCCCTTGCAATAAATCGATTTATTACGACCCTTCTATTACCCTTCAATGCATCTGCATACAATATACGACAGTATCGCTCGTCTAGGGAATGTACGGGAAGTATATGAATAAATATACCTTGATCCGCCTCTCACTGCAAACTGCGTCAAATTTTACGATATGACGTCACATCGACAAGTGCATTGTGATCAGTGAATTGTTTATATATTGCTGTGTGGGATTTAACCAACGGCAATAATGCAAGCACTAGTTAGTGTTGATGTAGTTTAAAGCTATTTAATAGTTTAAAATAGCAAATCATTTCATTTTGTGGTAATTTGAAGAAATTATATTTTTGTGTGATGTCATAGTAAGCATTTCCCATATAATTTAGGCCCCGCCTCCTTACTGCAGCCTTAAGTGTGCTGCGTACTGTTTACCTTGAATTTGTTAAAACTCTCGTCTCTGTAAAGAAATGCCAAAAGTATAGAATATAGGGAAACAAAAGCATAGAATATAGGGAAACAAAAGCATAAAATATAGGAAACAAAAGCATAGAATATAGGGAAACAAAAGCATAGAATAAAGGGAAGCAGGCGCTTTAGCTTTATAAAAATTGATGAGATTAAAAACACTTCATACGTAGTGAGGTTTTTTTTTCAGGATACATAAAAATCCATCGTAGTTCTGTCAGCTGTTTAAAACACTCATTCACTCTGTTATTTAGATACCTGTTAAGTAGTGAGTGCTAGCAATGTTCTTCAATGAAATATATGGAGATAACGAACAGTATTCAAGCTCAAAAGTCCATTAAACAATACAAAATAGGAGCAGAGCAAACACGGACCTCCAAAACATCAGAGGTGGAATCAGGTGCCATGGAGGAGTGAGCATCCCCTGCCGACCGGTCACACCCGCCGTGTACTCCTTGTCATGATCAGGAAATACTGTGGAATCATCATTGTTCGTGGGGGATCATTGTTCGTGGATTTCGTGAGTAACCCTTACCCACGAATTTACATCCCCACGAACAATTATTTTGTCAACGTACTGATTAATTAAATTTTACCGAATAAACGAGCTGCCCACGAAATTACATCCCCACGAACTAATAAAATTTTGCTTGCCCACGAACATTGACCCCAACGAATTTAAATGATTCCACAGTAGCGGAAAAATCCGTCCACAATTCAGTGTGTACATAATGGTCTAACAATTAGTATGAAAAACGTCAGTCAGCATTTGACTTAATGATAAATTGTATTTGCTGACAAGGTCATTGTATCGACCATAGAACTTACGAAATGATGACTTTAAACGAGACTGCTGATATCAAAGAAAAAATCACAAGTATTAAATTTTAAGAAAGCAACAAGAATAAATATGAATTTAGTCTTTTTCTGTAGGTAAACAAAGCTACATAATATATATTACACCGTACACCACAAATACAAATATGAATTCAGACGATTTTTGAGTATTCTTAACAATTTTACAACTGGATTACGAAGGATACCCAAAAACTGGGAAGCTTAAGTAAACATTGTCAAAAGACGATCTTTGTCACAACATACTAAGATTTACCCAATGGACTGCTTAATGTAAGGCAAAAAGTTTTCTATCGGAGCAATTTATAGGCAATATTTAAATTTTTGGCTAGCTCTGTAGTTCTAGATATTTATCATTAAATTCTCCACATCTCAAGCAATTTCACTGTGCAAATAATTGGACAGTCAGTGGCGGATCCAGGAATTTCGTAACATTGAGGTGCAGTAGAAGGCAGGGGGTTCTGGGGGCTGCATTGAAGCCCCCAGTGGGTCTAGGGCAAAGCCTTGGTGGGGAACCGGGGGCGAAGCCCCCGGAAGCTGACAAATTCTTACAAATAAGAGATGTTTTTCCTTGATTTTAGGATAATGAACATATAAGTTCTACATACAAAATATTCAAACGGGGGGGGGGGGGGGGGGGGCACGCCCGGCGCGCCGGCCCTGGATCTGCCTTTGACAGTAATCTATATCGAGGAGTAGCAACCTTATTTCCTTACAGCGTTGAAGAAAATACCTATAAACGTAACATAACAGGGGGTAAGCACTCATACATGTACGTATTCACACTTATTGATATGAAAAAAGGTTGGCAATATTCAAGGCTTGCCATCAGGAAAGTAGCAAATATTCTCCGTAAAATTTATTTGGATTCCACAAGTAACTGTGATTTACTACTGGTGCTGACCCTTTTTCAATATTTCCTATATTTTTAAACGATTGTGTTAAATGCCTCGGACCAAGAACCATTTTATTCAAATGATTCAAGAGTAATGTTTTCCCTTTAATTTGTTAAACAATTATTATAAAATATATATTTTTTACATTATATAAGCATTATAAAATTTAACTTAGTTCAATTTTAAGGTTTCTGATATTTCGGGCCAGGGGTTAGTTTTAAACTTAAGAGATTAGTTACGCAAATACGAAGTATAAAATTGGTGTATAATCAATACAAATACAACTGTAAAATAACATTAACCAGTATCGAAAGAATAAATTATATTATTATCATTATATATATTATATTCCATATATTATTTTTGGCAGTAGGACAGGTATGCGACACATGTCAGAGTCTGTGTTTGTGGGACTGTGTCGTATAGTTGGAACATCACAACAGGTGGCCATGAGACGGGATATTGCGGACATCCGTGAAATTATGTCACAGCAAAGAAGTAGTCAGTTCATTATGATTTTGAGCGGAAGTAAAAGAGAGGGTTTCAGACTGTTGGGATCTGATGAGGATAGGATGACCTGGAGTGAAAACAATCGAGTGATTTGGGAATTCTCACAGTCTAGGCATTATAACTTGTCCAGAGAAGTACTGATTCTTACTGATAGCTCTGATAGCCCACCAGGATTTACTCTTCTCCGGTTACTTACACCAAGAGCTGACATAAATATTAGGTGTGCATGTGTCAAAATGAATGAAAGGCTTTATATATCTAGCTCGTTTTACAGATTGATCATGTTTAGGTCGAAATACCCCAATTACACTACACATATACATGGACCGTGCAGTAGTGGGAACGTATTTGGAAAGGAATATGATATTGCCAACTGTTTTGTCAGTGACTTTTGGCCTCCCTTAGCCTCCTCTTGGATCAACAGATGTCATTTTTGGCCTCATCTTCAAGTTGTCCGTGACATAGTTAGAAATGGATGTCATTTCGTAGCAATAGGACACAAACTAGGTAATCATGAAGATAAAGAATGGAGAATTTCTTTTTCTGTGGCAGAACAAAAACTTGCGTACTCAATGAACCACTCTCAATTTTTAACTTATGGTTTATTGAAAGTGTATTTGAAAGAAGTAATTAACAATGATGTAAGTAGTGAAGATAAATTACTTTGTTCCTATCACATGAAAACAGCAGTTTTCTGGGTACTTCAGCAAAACTTATTGTCTAACTGGTGTCAACAAACTTTCCTTGAAGGCTTCTGGATCTGCTTTAAAATAATTCTTAAATGGGTGTATGAGGGGGTTTGTCCAAACTTTTTCATTCCACAGAACAACATGTTTCTGAGTAAAATCCATGGAGAAGCACAACTAATTTTATTTTTACGCTTGTATACATTATATGAGAGAGGTATTGCATGCCTTTTACAGAGTCCTTCTATCAGATCCTGTGTTGTAAATGCCCTTTGTAATCCAACACTATTTATTTGTACAAATGAAATGACTTTAATTCCTGAATATACAATTGATGCAGAAATATTTACTGAGCTAATTAAAATTAATTTATGTTACACCACAACCCTAAGGCATAGTGTAAACGCCCTGAAAGCAGTAGAGCGGTTGATGATAAAATCACACCTTATGCAGTATCACGTTCCATATTTACAAAGACTTGTAGCCTTGATACTGAGAAAAACTGCTTTTATATTGCACGGCATGTACACTAAAACGTGTTCTAACAAAAGGAGGTACCTAGCTGACAAATTGTCTTGCCACATGCTTAAGTTAGCAGTAAAGTTTAATTTTATTTCTGATATGTTGTTTGCTGCAATGTATCATTGCAAGACACTTAGATATAAAAAAGCTTTATCTATTATAGAATTGGTAATTGCAAAGTTAGCACATCCACAACAGATGTTTTTATATTTTACATACATAGTTAAAGAGCCTGAGGATGTAAGATGTCAGTCCTGGTCTTCAAAGATGAGAAATACAATTTTAAATTTTATACCACTTGATAATGACGTCTACTGTATCAATGAATTAGTGATAGAACAGCTGTGTAGTTTTAATAACAATAAAACAGCATTATTTATCCCAACGGTTGTACTTATCCACGCTCTTGAATTTTTGTGCCATTCTAATTTAAGCACAGTAAAGGCACAAATAATTCTGTCTAAATTACAAACCCTAGTGCACTCTGATCACTTAATATATCTACCTGAAGCTTACAAAGACATATCATGGCAGATCCTGGGTATCTGTCAACAGATTACAGGTGACCTCCAGGCTGCTTTTTATTCCTACCAACAATCACTCAAACAATATCCACTCCATGGCATACAAACTGCTACAATCATCAGAATTATAATACTGACCTACAGACTTTACTTCAGTTAATTGTTCACAGACACATTTAGATGAATATTTTAGGCCTTTCAGCGATTTTAAGTTGTTTTTATTTTCTCAAACCGCTCAGAATGTACTGCATATATTATACCCAATAACACGTTATTGATTCATAAGAGTTACCTCTTGCACTGCAGTATGTTAGTTCATTACATACTGGTCTGTATGTCTATTACCGTCAACATAAACAGGAATCGAACAATACAGTCCTAACAACTCCTTCAACAACTAGCAAACATCCCACCATGGTGCCAATACTGTAAGACGAAAATTTGAAGTGCTCAGAACTGTCTGAATTAATAGCATGAAATGATACAATCAAAGTTCAATAAGACCTTGACAATTATTTTGATGTTAGATATAATTGCTGTTTTAAATTTAATACATTAATATTAGATTTACTTGTGCAAAATTAGTCTGTCCTGTGGATTTAAAGAAAAGAACAGTTTTGTTTTATATTTTCACACGTCATGTTTGTCATTTAAGTTATGGACTTGATTGTATTTAAAGTATATATCATTGAAATAGTTTTATTGGACATATGAGAAATGCATCTTTTTATCCTCCAGGTTTCATGCTGTTTATGGGAAATACATATTTACAAGGGAAAGTATATTAGCATTTTTAGAAAAATGGGAATATAAAATAAAACAGTAAAGACGATTACTTTCTGTGTTACACAAAAAAGTAGAATTATTTCCTTTTCTTTCTTGTGTTAACAATTAAATATTAATTAACGCTTTTTAACTTAAACATTTCTTCTTCAGATTAAAAACCCCTCTTCCTAAAAGCTCTTTATTTTTTAATGGTATAAAAATACAAATTTTTATTTTGTTTTATTTTGACATTGGATGTCAATTATTTATTAGATGTATGAGACTTTAAAAAATGTAATATACCTAAGCTCCTGAATATTTTTTAAAGACCAAATTCTTTGATTGAGATCAAATCTACGATTCTAAATGATTTGTGCATAATAATAAAAGACTGGCATTAATTCTAATTTCTTTCGAACTCTTCATTTTTATTAGCTAATATTCAAACCAACTCCGTCCTGTTTTTATTCTATTTTTTAACTGATAGAGAAGGATCCCAGATTTGTATTCATTTTACGTGCTTTGTTTATTTTAATTGCTATGAAATATGAATATAAGAAACAGTAATCAAGGTTAAGCGTCCATTTAAACAATACAAACAGAGAGCAGAGCAAACAGGGACCCCTCATCATAAAGTCTTATAGTTAGGTTACCATTAGCGTCCTTTTCTAGTAAAATATCCAAATATGAAACAGATGTGTCAGACTCTGCGGTATATTTTATTTCGAGTTGAAACGGATATATCGAATCAACATGGAAATGAAAATGAACATTGTTTATTGAAAATCTAAATGTTGAATTGAAGACCACAACAAAAGACCTTCTTTCCATGTAGAAGTTTTTGAATAAATTCTGTTTCGTATGAATACAAAAATGATCAGTAATAACGGGGCGCAATTAGTACCCATGGGTATTCCGACAGATCGTTGAAAGACTTGATATCCAAAAAGTACATAGATATTGTCAAGCAGAAACTCAAGCATCTTTAAAACATCAACTTTGGACTACTTCTGTGTAGAATCAGAATGCTTTTTAACAAAATAATTTTGCAAATAACTATTGACAAGGTGACTAAATTTAGAAATTTCATTTTTATTGAAAATGTATAAATTGTTGAACGGTCGCGCTGGTATGTGAAGGCTGCACTCAGATATCCTACTTGCCTATATAGTATGACGTCATAGTTAGCTGTATGACGTGAACTTAAGAGATAATGATTTCTTAATATCAATATTTCAAGTTTACTTTCATGTCCAAGAAGTGAATGGAATCATCCAAAAACATAATATAAACTAAATCTTGTCGTTTTTGGGTGGTATAAATAGCTACGTATTTATCACAGGGGTTAAATACCAAACTCATGACGTCATAGCTATTGATCAAATATTTGCCGAGTGAAAATTAAATGTGACGAGAATTCATGTAAACAAATATATGAAATGGGAGTTTTGAAGCATATACCGTGAATGTCATGTGTGTTTCATTAGGAATTAAAGATTAATAATCAGATAAGGTTATTTATATTTATCAAGTTTTCTTATAATGAACACAGGCAGTGAAATCCCGATCAGCCTTGTCAAAAGTTCAACACTACGCCGCATACTTTGAAACATAATTTTGTTTGTATCGAAAGCTTTTATTCTATAGTACTTGGAAAGTGCTGCTAGAATCGTGTGGTTAACATGAATTGATGACAATTCCTTGATCGTATGTACAAAATGTGCAAATTTTGGAAATGTTTCATGCAAAACTTTGGAATAATTTTTTCTGTTTCGGGAGAGTAGGATTCTAGCGGCACTTTTCATGGCCTAATGATGTTTCTACACAATTATTTTCACAAAAAAAAAATAAATTATCCCTGGGGTAGTGTTGAACTTTTCACTTTTTCGTTAAGGCAATTTTTCTATTTATAGACATCACGTGATGACGTCGTAGTGGAGTGCTTCTTTTAGCCTAAGACTCAATCACGTCTATACAATGGATAATAATAGTAAATGCTTTATCTATGGCTTTTCCGATTTATCAATGTTACATTTTACGAAAAAAGTATAAATTCGCCGAAAAATTATCTGGGAACAGCTTTATTATACATGCGCGTGCTTTGTGATGCTATTAATTTTGGTAAAATTTTGTGAATTAAGATTTTCTGAAAGTTTCTTCAGTAAATCTGATTAACACCACTTTTCGAATATATTGCTGTACAGTACTCCTGAGGCTTCTCCCTCACTGCTGTTAATATTTTAGCGAGAAGTAAGGAAAGAGGCTTGGTAGAAGATTTACTAGAACCCGCTATGCATCTTTGTAAAGATTTTATGCGAATTACCCTATCTACTTGTATACTTAATTCCAAAACTTCATATAAATCCTTAACATCTACGATAGGGGATTCCAGTAAATGATCTACCAAGCATCTTTCTTTACTCCCCACGAAAATATTTATAACATTAAAGGAAAAAAATCATTTTTTATCAGCAAAACGTATATGGTTACAATATCTTTTTTTCCGATGAGTGGCTCTGCTTATTTCCTTGTTGCCTTGAAAAAAAAACTGAAAACGTGAGATAACGGAGGAACCCTTATATACATACAAACGTGAGAAAACGGAGGAACCCTTATATACATGCACGTTTAGACACTTGTTCGGATGAAAATAGATTGTAAATGTTTCCGGTCTGCTTTTAAAATATCTTTAAAAGTTCAATGGAATAAAAATAAATTTTCTTTAGTGAACTCAAAATATTGGTGGTACATATATGACTTCTCAAAACCAATCAATCATGACATCACAGGTAACTACAAGATAAAAATCAAACAAAATTTAACATTTAAAAAAAAGAAAGAAGGAAAATTCAATATTTTTTTTTTGTTGTATGTGGATGAAGAGGTTTAAATAATGAATGTAGAATCTTGAAAAGTACTAGATTAAATAGAAGATATTCAATATTTTGTACTTGGATATGGATTTCACTAGTGCTACAGAATTTATTCTTACATATTCACAAGTGCAAACCAAGATTGAAAATTTGAGAAAAAAAATGGCTTACGAGTTAAATAGATTTTATATCCAACAACAAAATATTGAATTTTCTGTTTCAGACTATTCAGTGCAAATAATGATCTAACGATTAGTTTAAAAAAACGTCAATCAGGGTTCGACTCTCTGATAGTTGCATTTGCTGACAAGGTCATTAAATTGACCATAGAACTTGCAAAATGCTGACTTTAAACGAGACTATTAATATCCTCGTTTCATCAACGTGTTTGTCAATAGCTTACCTCATTATAGAAATTGTTCGTATGTAAAGCATGCTCTTGCGTATCGAATCAACTGGGAGACATAAACTCCATATGCAGGTGATAAGGGTTCTGTAAACGTATATTCTTCTACGGGGTCATAAGTCCCCGCAATCGCCATTTTTGTTCAATTCAGGGGTATAAAATTATGTGGATTTCTCAGATTGCCACTGCCGGTCACGGTAGCCTAGTGGTAGGGCACTCCGTCCGTAATTGGGAGGCCCGGGTTCGATTTCCGTTCGCCGCGCCGCGTCACCTAAGTCGCAAACATAGGCACTGTCTGTTCCCTCGCCAAGCGCCAGGTAAAAGACGAATAAATACCCCTGTACTACGGATTTTCCGTTTGCTTAATCCTGCCAATGAGCCACAGCGGGTGTGACTAATCGACAGGGGATACTTTCTTCTCCATGGCACCGCACGTGATCCCACCTCTGATCATTTTTTAAAGG